ATAGGGTCTGGGGCGCTGTTATAGGATTCTCCAATTCATGAAGCCAGGTGAGGTAGGATCTTTTGGCATTCAAAGCAGCTGGACCTGGGCCAGAGGGGCAGGGATTGCTCCTAGAGGCTCTGTGTCTTACGCCGGGTCTCCCTAGTTACCCAGGCGATCCAGCACTTCCTTTTGCTTATCTTTGACTAAAATGAGCTAGTTCAGGAAGAATTGTTTAAATAAAGTTTTGTTTTATACAATGCCATAGTTCGATTCATTTTTTTGTGTTTTTAAAAATAATTTTTATTTTATGTGCATTGGTATTTGCCTACATGTATGTCTGTGTGAGGGTGTCAGATCTTGTAGTTACAGACCATTGTGAGCTGCCATGTGGGTGCTGGGAATTGAACCTGGGTCCTCTGGAAGAGCAGTCAGTGCTCTTAACTACTGAGCCATCTCTCCAGCCTCATTGTGTATGTTTTTATAAACTGTATAACTTCTTGAATTTCAAAGCTTTGAAGGACCATACCTTGAAGTGGCATCTTGGTTTTTCACTGTTGCTCTTTATTTACTTTTTTTTTTTAAACTAAAACTACACAAAAGCTTGTGCACTCAGTACATTTCTAAATCTAAAAATGAAGTTGAAAAGTTTCTTAAGAATCCTTATCCAGCTGGGCACTTTGACTCATATTTGTAATCCCAGCACTTGGGATATGAAAGCTGAAGGATCAGGACTTCCAAGCAAGCCTGGGCTATGTGAGATCTGTCTTCAAAAATAAGAACAGCTCAAGTGGTGTTACATGGTAATCCCAGTACTTGGAAAGCAGAAGCAGATGGATCTCTGTGAGTTTGAGGCCAGCTTGGTCTACATAGTACATCTGAGACCAGCCAGGGCCACTGTCTCAAAAACAAACAAATAATAATAACAAATCCCTATCAACTCAGCCTTTCTATTTTTCCTACCAGAAGTTCTGCCACAGAAGATTTTGTCCCTTGACCCTTTGTTCTGAACAGTCTGGAAATGATCCATGTACTTTCTGTTTTGAATGAGCAAGTTTAACAAGCAGATACCAAAAGTAAAAGAATAAAGAAGTTTTAGATAGAAAGCAAAATATCATCAAGTCAGGTGATCACGACATCCAGGAGTGGCCTTTGAGAGGGCAGACAAAGTAACATCAATGAGGGCTCACAATGCCCAGCAGAAACTGCCTGGAAAAAGTTGAAGCATCCAGAAGCCAGTTGGACTTCCTGATTAAGCTTTCTCACAGTTGAACTTCGGACTTCCTGTGCCCACTGAAGATTTTCTTTCTTTCTTTTTTTTTTTCCCCTATTCTCTCTTTCCTTTTAATAAGACAGGGCCATCAATAGTAGTTTACTTCTAGCTGTCTTTTTTTCTGATGTTGTTTGCAGCTCTCTCCCCTTCCTGTTACAGTGTTAGGGGCACTGGCCTATCCCCAGATAAAGGGTCTTGGAGAACATTTGACAAAAATATACTTGGGTCTAAAGTAGAGGGGGCAGGGGGGGGCAACTCTGCTTCCAGAGCCAGATTCTTAGTGAGTTCGAGCAGCACATGACGATTTACCAATGTAATACACATCACATCTCTTTGATGCTAGGCAATACCCTTTGAGGCAGCATCAGGCATGAGGGAAGTGACGAGAGAAGAGAAACAACTCCAGGCATTGCCCTTGTGTCTCCACTCGGACTGTTCTGTTTTCATCATTTGAGGTAAAGGAGTTCTACTTGACGTGCCCCTCTGTTCATAAGCTACTCTGTCGTTTCTGCTTCCGCTTCACCCACTGGGATGACATCCTTGGGAAACTGAGGAAACTCCAAGCGGGGTTTTAGTCTACTGAGTGTGTGAAGGCAGATGCTAAGGTCTGCAAGCTAAGCAAAGTGAGGTCTGCTTAGCTGCAAGAGAGTCTGGAAGAGCCAGCCAAGCACAGCTAAACCACGCAGAAGGTATCTCAAAGCAAGAACCAAACCCACTGAGTAAGCTGTTCTGTGCAAAAATCCACCCCATTAGTGGCCTTGGTGCAGATGCCGCCTCTCTCACAGCAGCCTCTGGTCTCCTTTAGTCAGAGCACCATGCCTTTCCTTACGTCATGGAGATAGTTGAAGTTGACTTAGAAATTGGGAAATAATCTGTAACAACTAAGCCCGCACTGGAAGATTCAGGAATGGATGGTATAGGAGTTAATGACCAAGTTTCTCTAACAATGTTTCATGCAGCGATATTCAGTAGCGTGCCAGCCACTAGGAGGACACGCCTCCTCCTGAGGATGATAAGAACAAAGAAAAATGGAAGGCTAACATTTTTGTTTGGGATCAAATTTGGGAGCATTCTTTAAGCTTATTCTAGCTGAAAACTAGATGCCAAGGGTTTGCTTGGTGCAACATACTGGACTGGTGCCAAATCATTTAGGAGGAGAACTCCCCAAAGCTGCAAACCCGTTCATATGAGAAATGACTTCACTGCAGAGGAGTCATTCATATGAGAAGACTCCACTGACCGCACACTGAGAAGAGGGGTGTGAAGGGAAGGGGTGTGTCCTGACACTGTGGCATTGTGGGATTCTTGAACACCAGCTATTGTTTACATCGCCTACGTAACTGTTAACACTAGACAGATTGGAGATGAGTCCCTCAGCAATCCACTGGATTTGCAGAACTTGTTAGGATGGAACCTGAAGACAGACTCCACACCTATGACTCGATTTCTTCTGGTGTGAGGGAAAGTCCCTTTTTTTTTAAAAAAATTAATTTTTATCGAGCTCTACATTTTTCTCTGCTTTCCTCCCTGCCTCTCCCCTCCCCGCTTCAACCCTTCCCTAACGTCCCCACGCTCCCAATTTACTCAGGAGATCTTGTCTTTTTCTACTTCCCATATAGATTAGATCTTTGTAAGTCTCTCTTAGTGTCCGCATTGTTGTCTAAATTCTCTGGGATTGTGGGTTTGTAGGCTGGTTTTCTTTGCTTTATGTTTAAAAATCACCTATGAGTGAGTACATGTGATAATTGTCTTTCTGTGTCTGGGTTAGGGAAAGTCCCTTTGTTATTAATTATGAATAAAATTAGAAAGTGGCATTTGGGGCTTTTCCTCCTTCTCCTCTTCTGAGAAAATGATTTCTGCCTTGTTTATTGACCCTCTGACTAACTGCTTTTAAAACTTGACTTTGTAAATCAAACAACTGGTAAAATTTTCTGAAGCAGAATTCATATAATATTTTTATTCATGAATTGAAAAAAAAAAAAAGCACCTTTAGTTACTGTTCCAAAGGAAGGTGCTGGGCTGTGGGCCAGGTTTCCCGGGTTGAGCAGCATGGCTGCCATTGATTAGCAGTGTGTAGCAAGGACCTGAGTGAGGATTTACTTTAAAATTTTTTTTTGAATCTTCTAAGCTTTGAATCTCAGCTAGATACTCAGTTTTGTAGAGCGAAATGTAATTAGAAATTTGTTAGCTTTTCAATTAAAAAATACATTTAAAAATCCATTCTGGGGTGGCTCAGTAGGTAGGAGCACTTGCTCTTGTAGAGGACCTGGGTTTAATTTCCAGCAGCCACATGGCAGCTCACAACCATCAGTGACTCCAGATCCAGGGTATCCTGTGCTCTCTTATGGCCTCTGGGGATACCATGCACCCCCAGCATGCACATATATACAAGCAGGCAAAAAAACCTCATACACTTAAAATCATAAATAATTTTTAAAAGTTAAATAAATCCATCCTGTTGCTTTATTAAGTCTTGAACCAACTTCTACCTGCTCCACCTCTCTTGGGTTCCCCTTTCTAACATTACTTGGCATCCATCTTTATCACAGGAGCTTATCACCTTGTTTTAAGCTCCTGTGCTGTGCTAAACATCTCCCTACGTTCTAGTTAAGAAATAAAACCTTGGCCTCAGTGAGTCCCCTAGTGCAGCCAGGGAACGGATGATCTGAAAGAATTTAAAGCCGTGCTCCGTGGTCACGTGGAGACGTCAGAGCTGGGATCTCTGATGAGAATCTCTTGGAGATTACAGGGTCAGTAGTAGGGATGGTGAGGGAATGAAACCCCCAGTATCATCAGGCAGTGGTGGCGCACGCCTTTAATTAAACCCAATACTTGGGAGGCAGAGGCAGGCGGATCTCTGTGAGTTCGAGGCTTGCGTGGTCTACAGAGCGAGTTCCAGCACAGCCAAGGGTACACAGAGAGAGCCTGTCTAGAAAAACAAAAACAATGCCGGGCGATGGTGGCGCACGCCTTTAATCCCAGCATTCGGGAGGCAGAGGCAGGCGGATCTCTTGTGAGTTCGAGGCCAGCCTAGTCTACAGAGCTAGTGCCAGGACAGGCTCCAAAGCCACAAAGAAACCCTGTCTCGAAAAACCAAAAAAAAAAAAAAAAAAAAAAACAACCAAAAAAACCAAAAAAAAAAAAAAAAAAAAAAAAAAACAAAAAAAACCAAGAAAGAGACCCCCAGCACGAACGTCTAAAGAAAAGGGCAGCAAGCTCCTTTGCTAGAGGGGAAAGAAACCTGTTCGTCCTGACTTGGGAGGTACTAAAGGCGGGATCAGGGCTGAAATCCTCCCGCCAATGGAAAGCGAGAAAACTTTTAAAGAGAAAGGCTAGCAAATTCCGCCGTGCAGCATCTTTAAGCAGAGGCATTCCTTCTTTCATTCCTGCTGGTGACAAGCCTTTTGCTGGGTGCTTGGGAAACCAAAGTGGCTGCAGCGCAGAGTGGGTTTCTCAGGGCGCATTAGGCGTCCCTCCTGCAGGGAGTTGCACTGTTCCAGTTAATAACGCAAAACAGCCGGGCTCCACCTCAGACCTAAACTTGCTCTTGAGGATCTCTGTGCTTAGCCTTAGCTAGGAATCCCAGGCCTTTGCAGCCACGGACCCCGCGAAGGCCGCTTTCCTTGCCCGGGGCTGCTGGGTGTGCGCGAGACCCCGCCCCTCCGAGACCCCGCCCCTCCGAGACCCCACCCCCAGACTGTCAAGGGCGAGCAGGCCCCGCCTCAGGGCCGCACGTCGCCTCGTCCAGGGCCCGCCCCTGCCCCTTACTCCGGACCCCTGGCGGTGGGCCGACTAGAAGCACCTGCACCTCACCGGGTCCAGCCGACACCTCCGAGCAAGAAAGCGCCATGGCAGCTCCAGCTAAGGCCGAGAACCTGTCCCTGGTGGTGCACGGACCTGGGGACCTTCGCCTGGTAAAAAGGGAAAGCAGGGGGTGGGAACCCAGGCCGCCACCCGCCCCGCCCCGCCTCACCCCTCTGCCGGCGGCGGCAGTCACCACTCCCAAGTTCCTGTCACTCACAGGGCCGGCACCGCTGGCTGCCCCGGTTTACCCAGATCTTTGCTGGTTACCGGGAGGTGGGGGTGGGGTAGCAGTTAGCGGGCCGTTATTTATCTCTAGGGAGAGTTTCTGGTCGCGTGCTCCCGGAAGTTAGCCCCGTGCCTGGCACGTGGCCTGTGCCGTGGACCGTTGAAAACAAATCAAGCCTTGGTCTCCTTCGCTAGCTGCAAATTCACGCGCTTGTTACTGCTCTTCAGAGGGAGACTGGCAGGATTCGAACCTACTCAGATCTTCTCCCGGTAGACAGTGCAGAGCGGAAAAGGGTGGCAAGATGGCACTTGAAAGCGGTGAAATTCTGTTTAATCCCGATAATATCCCCTTGCAGAATTGTTTTTTTTTTTTAATCACGAGAGGACCCAGCATTCAGTAAGCGCTCGCAATGCACTTTAACTGGGGATACAGCCTATCGCTATCTCCCTTGATCCACATCTGTAGCGCTTCCCTAGAACATTCTGTGTACCTGTCTCTGGCTTTAAACTTGTTTCTGCCCCCCTGGACTCACCAGAGTCCAGACATCTGCTGAATCATCTCTGTGGTCATGCCAAAGTTCCTTTGACAAAGTCCATTTCAGTGGGGCATGCAGTATTTGGTTTGGGTACCAGCCATCTCTGCTGCTCCCCTGCATCTCTGCCTCCTTCCCCCCTCAAAGAACATGTCCCAGGAGAGACTCATTCGGATGAACAGTTCTTGTCTGTTTAAGACTCTGTCCTCGTGGTTTCTACGGAGTGCAAGCAGACTTAAGTTTGGAAGCATTTTCAAATGTTCACTCCTGTACCCGTAGGCCTATCCTTCGGTGGATTCCAAACCAAGAACCCTTGCCTGGAGGTGACACTCCACTTCAGTTGATGGGAAAAGTGCCATCCCCCAAGATGGTAGTCTTGGTTGGTTAATGGACCCAAGACAAGAACTCAGATTCAAACTCCCTTTCGTGTGTGGTTCCCAGTCACTTTAGAACATCCACCCAACCTCCTGAATTCAAAAGACACTATGATTATTACAGTTGATGGCAGGTGTGGGATAGAAAAGTGATGTGTCTCTACATAGCTTACAGAGTGATTCTGAACATACTCCTCCGTGTCACTATTGTTTATTAAGTGAGAATATCCCTACTATGGAGCTAGGCACTGGTCTGAGGGCCCAGAGAGAACACAGTCCCTGCCCTCAAACATCCCAAAAGAGGGAGACAGATGAGAGAAATCGTTAAAGCACTGTCCTGTACGAAGGACTGTTCTGCCCTGAATTGCTCCTTAAGGGATATTGCAGATGTCTCCGCTTGCATGTAAATAACCCTTGAAGTAAGAAGGTCATAAGAGCTCCTAGTGGGGCGTATGCTGTTGCTGGGGCCCATGTAGTCCAGTACAGGCCTCCTGGGCTCTTCTCCTTCCCAGGTATGATCCTCTCCCAACTACCTCCATTTCCTTAGAGCAGACTGGTTCAGGAGTAAAAGTTTGGGTGGTGGTATCAGCACCGAACCTTAGAATCAGGGAGGAACAGTCCTAAGGAAGCTTTGAGGGACCTGTTCTCTAGTAGGAGAGCCACAATGAAACCCAAGATGTCTGAGCATAGCAGATTAAGCGGCAGTGGCTTTTGAAAGCCATAGCCGCTTGGCTGTGGATTATAGGATGGGAAGGGGGAAGACAAGACTTTGTTCCCTTTCGATATGACAGCACACAGATTTCAGGTCTTTCCATTGGGGTTGGGTGGTCAACCGAGACCTAGCTTACATTTGGGTAGACTAGGGGCAGGGTCTACTGATAATCCTTGCCTCAGGAGCTCACATGAAAGGAATTGTTTAGAGAAACACCCATTCCAAAAATCCAAGGCAGGAATCCAAGCATAGGAGAGCTCAGGCTTTCCCAGTGTTGCGTTCACGGCTGCCACCTGTAAGGCCAGAAACTGGCCAAGGTCCAGGGCATGACTCTGGACAAACAGGACCCAAGCCACTGCTGAGAGAAGCAGGAAGGAAACCTAACACCCAGTCTCGCCTCTGCTTCCCTAGAAGACGGCTTCCATTTCTTCCTTACTTCAGTAACCAAAGTCTTCTCATGCTTAGAGTCAACACAGCAAGGAGGGAGCATTTGTAATTGGGGTGACAGAGTGAGAGAGGGAATGTGGTGTGTGTTGTGCACGCGCACACACACACACACTTATTAGAGCAGACTAGTAGGTGTGGACACAGTAGGGCAGTGCTGGGTGTGCATATGCATACATATATCTTAGGACAGACTATAGCTTTCCTTCATAATGAGGGGAAAAACCAGATCCCTCTATCTTTATTATTTTTATTTTATATTTTGTTTTTGTTTTTGGAGACAGGGTTTCTCTTTGTGTTCCCATCTGTCCTGGAGCTCACTTTGTAGACCAGGCTAGCCTCAAACTTAGAGATCTGCCTGCCTGTGCCTCCTAAGTGCTGGGATCAAAGGTGTGCACCACCAATGCCTGGCTTCATTATTTCCCTATTTTAAATGAGAAAGTTGGGACTTTAGGAAGCAAGAAGAAGAATTGAGTCAGTTGATGTACAAGAAAGCCACCCCAGCCGTCAGCAAGCAGTGCCAATTCACGGGGGTCTTCTTGAGAAAGAAATAGTAAACTCAAAGCCAGGGGGCTGGAGGAGGGGTTAGTCCCCGCTCCACTGTTAGTTGTGTGGCTTAACAATGGTTTTTTTTCCCCTTCCTGCTATAATTGTCTTGAAGAGGGGCACCAGGCCTGTAATCCCAGCTACTCAGGAGACTGAGGCAGGAAGACTGACTGAAAGTTCAAGGCCTGAGTGAGCTCCAAAGTAAGTCCAAGGCCCGTGGTAGAGTCTAGCTTAAATTCTTAATGCAGAGGAGGGGGAAGGTTTTAGTACGCATTTGGATTGTGTGTGCTCCAGTGGTGCTGCGCTTACACAAGGGCCAGCATAGAGTCCCACGCGTCGTCCCTGGTATGTGCTAGCTGTGGGCTTAGGCAGGAGGCCAAAGCCTTTAAACCATCTTAGCATGAAGAGATGACTAAAGGCTAAAAGTGGCAAATGTATGGGCAATTTTGGCAAAATTCTTAGAATGTGGGCCAGGCAGAACTCTGTATTGAGCTGCCGTGGTTCAGCTACTTTCTGTCCCTTTGGCCTATCCTGTAGAATCTAGATCTTGCTTTTCTTAAGGGATTTATGTATTTATTATGTATACAATGTTCTGTCTGCATGTACGCCTGCAGGCCAGAAGAGGGCATTAGATCTCATTATAGATAGTTGTGATCCATCATGTGGTTGCTGGGAATTGAACTCAGGACCTCTGGAAGAGCAGGCAGTGTCTTAACCTCTGAGCCATCTCTCCAGCCCCGATCTTGCTTTTCTTTATGGTTCATGAAATTGGAATAGGAGACAACTGACTTCTCTGCACTAAAGTTTTGTTTGGTGTTGGGGGCCAGAGGGTAGATTGTGGGTTTTTGCAACACCCAGATGCATCAATTAACAGCACATCCAAACACAAGTCACCTAAGGGTCCCACAGGAATTAGGATGCTTCCCCCTTCCTATCTCATGTGGGATCATGAGGAAAGAGAAAGAGAAATGGCCCCTGTGAGGATGTGTTGGGTGTGGCTGGAGGTGAGGTGGAGGCATGCCACGAGGGGTAGGGCACTTTTCAGGGCTAATGGGGAGCCTAAACAGGTTTGTATTTCAGAAAGATTGTTATCAGCAGGACAGAGGCAGGGCAGAACAAGGAGAGCCTGGGCAGAGGACCAGCCCAGTGGACTATGGGAGCGCTTCCAACCCTTTATTTTGACCGCCTCACAAAAGCCTCTCGTCCAATTGGAAAACCTTCGGCTTTTCCTCCCACTCTTAGGACACAGGACAAATACATGGGGATGGGGAAAACAAAGCAGGAGAAGTGACGATAGTGTCTTGTCCACCTTACATGTTCAGCACAGCCCTCAGGCTCACACGAAGTCTGCATGGGGGAGCAAGTGGCAAAGACATCTGCTCAGAATCTGGGCCCAGGCCACCTCTACCTCCCATACCCTGCCTGTCCCTTTAAGCCATGGGGGTGGCTTCATCTCCACGTAACAAGGATCAGACCTAAATCAGGGCTAGAGTCCTTCTTTAGCTCTTCTAAATCCCAGCCTTTTTTTTTGTTTTTGTTTTTGTTTTTGTTTTTCGAGACAGGCTTTCTCTGTAGCTTTGGTGCCTGTCCTGGAACTAGCTCTTGTAGACCAGGCTGGCCTCGACCTCATTCGCCTGACTCTGCCTCCCTAGTGCTGGGATTAAAGGTGTGCTCCACCACCGCCCGGCTAAATCCCAGCCTTTTAAAGGGCAAATTTCTCTAAAAGTTACCATGAAAAGAACGGAGTCCCATATTGCCCTACAATAGTGTGGAGTACTTTGCCCTTTCCCAAAGGATATGGCTGTCCAGAACTGGTTCAACTGTTAAGGGACAGAACTTGGGGTTGTTTCTTTTGAAATAAGAGCAAACATATTTGCTGTGGGGTGGCTCTCCTTTTGATGACTATCCTCATGATACAGAAGGGGAGAATCAAGAGGTTGTGTAATGTGCCCTGGGTACACAGCGGGTTGAGAAGAGCCAACTTTGCACATGAGCAGGCTACTCCAGAGTTTGACTTCTGCCCAAGGCTGGCTGGAGGAGGGAAAACTTACCCTCCCTGATTTCTCTTGGCTTGAAGCCCTTCCTACCGCCTAGGCCAATGGTCCTCAATGTGTAGATCGTGACCCCTTTGAGGTTAAAAAACCCTTTCACAAGGGTCACATATCAGATATCCTGCATGTCAGTATAGTAGCAAAATTCATAACCGTAGCAAAATTACAGTTATGAAGTAACAATGAAAATAATTTTATGGTCGAGGGTCACCACAACATGAGGAACATGTTAAAGGGTCGCAGCATTAGGAAGAATGAGAACCACTGACCTAGGCAGAATGGGTAGAGGCTATGAATTCAGGTATACCAATGGAAAGGGAGCTGATGACATTCAAGACATATCACACACACACAAACACACTATTTGAAATACCGGAGACAGCTGAGATGACCCCATCTACCAGGGACATCTTCCTGGGGACTCGGGGCTACTGTAAGTGTCCTGCAGAGAGAAGGGCAGCTGTCTGTGTGATTTAGATAGATGTTTCTGACGGGAAAAGTTCCAGCCTGCCAGCAGAACTAAAGAAGGCTTCAAAGCTCCTCTCTGCACCTTTGTGACTCATTGATGAGATATTCGACTTAGGAAACCTTGGATGTCTGAAATGAGAAAGTAGTCACTGGGAATAAAGTGGAAGTCTAGGATCTCAGAGAACTAAGCGTGTGTGTGTCTCAACACCTGAGCTATAGCCCTCAAAAACCTTGAGAGAGAAGTAGATGAAGAAAAGTTTAGTACCAGGGAAATCTAAGATGGAAAAGGAGGTTAAGTAACACGGTCACACACCACCTTTTTAGTGTTCAGTGGCCACACTGTGGTAGCAGTGATACTTGGCATAATATTTACAAACTTAAGGCTCATTTATTTATTTTGAGACAAAGTCTTGCTATGCCTAGCAATCTTGAAGTTCTAGATCCTTCTGCCTCAGCTTTCTCAAAAGGAGTTACAGGTATTTATAAACAGCCTAATACAGGTGCTAGGACTCAAACTCTGGTCCTCTGCAAGATCAACAAGCACTTTCAACTGCTGAGCCATCTATCTCTCCGGCTCCCAATAGTAGATCTTAATATAATCTTGTGTTCAGTGGCATATCCCCTGTGGAGAGGGGGAGGCGGGTGCTGAGCCTGAGTTGAAAGGATGGGTGGGTGAAGTCATCAAGAGGAGGGGCTCTTTAGGGCTGTAGCTCAGTTGGTAGACTGCTTGTCTTGTATGCACAAAGCCTCGGGTTCCTTCCTCAGCACCACAGGAATATGGTGTGGTGGCGCTCAGCTATATTCCCAGCATTTGGAAGGAGAAACTGAATGTAAGGGTCACCCTTAGGTACCTAAGGTGAGAGAGGAGAGGGGGATGGTGTGAAGCCAGACAGTAAACAGACTACCAGCACAGCACCCTCTAGTGTCCTGAACAGTCACTGCATTTTTGCATGTGGAATAGGGGTAAGGTTTTTTGTTCTGTTTTGGTGTGTGTTTTTTTTTTTTAAATATTTATTTATTTATTTACTGTGTATACAATATTCTGTCAACATATATGCCTGCAGGCCAGAAGAGGGCACCAGATCTCATTACAGATGGTTGTGATCCACCATGTGGTTGCTGGGAATTGAACTCAGGACCTTTAGAAGAGCAGGCAATGCTCTTAACCACTGAGCCATCTCTCCAGCCCCGGGTTTTTTTTTTTTTTTTTTTTTTTTTTTTGAGACAGGATTTCATTGTAGTTTTAGAGCCTGTCCTGGAACTAGCTCTTGTAGACCAGGCTGGTCTCAAACTCACAGAGATCCGCCTGCCTCTGCCTCCCGAGTGCTGGGATTAAAGGTGTGTGTCACCACTGCCCGGCAGGGGTAAGGTTTAGTAGTGGTTACAGCAGTAAATCTCTAGTGGCTCATGGCTTACATGGTTCCTCTGAGCTTCCATCTCCCATTTCCCCACCCAGGTCCTGTGTTCAGGCTTACCCTAGCTGGAAGCAAAGATAGGAAGAATGTGGAATTGGGTATCCGTGTCGGGGGATTTTCCTGCTGTTGCCATCGGTAGGGATGTGGGCAAGAGTCCAAGTTAGAAACAAAATCAGTAATCATTAAATTCCACTGAAATTAAAGTTTAAATTTTCACTGGATGTAACGGTAAGAAACAAATTTACTCAACAGTGTAGGATGTTAGTTCATTTCAAACATGAGACTGGTGACGTTTTTGAGAGAGATTTTGGTGACACCTATCCATCTTAAGGTGGTGATGATAGACTTTCCCCCACTCAAAATTACCGAGAAGAAAAAAATAACATTAGAAAACCAACCACTCTCCCCCAGAAAAACCAAATGTTCCGTAAGTACTTTAACCATTTCTCCCCTCACATGAGGCTCTTTGTGTGTCAGCCAGTTAGTTGGTGCCTCACTCCTGGGCTCACGTAGTGGTCATCCACCCTTAGCCTCTGCAGCCCCTGGCAGGTTGCTAACTACCCCAAGTCTTCATCCTCAACCCATGGGGATGGCTTCAGGCTATGCAACACCTGGGCTATCCCGTGACACCTGTACAGCACTTAGCACAGGTACCTGGTGGACAGTGTAGTGTGCCTGTGGATCAGCGTCAGCACGCGGATTGAACTTTCTCTGGAGGAGCTCAGTTAGCCACTGAATTTTCTCCACAGGAGAGCCTGCTGCTCTGAAGTGAACGAAAGCAGTTAGAGCTGCTGGGTGGTGGCACACACCTTTAATCCCAGCACTCAGGGGCAGAGGCAGGCAGATCTCTGTGAGTTCGAGGCCAGCCTGGTCTACAGAGCTAGTTCTAGGACAGGTTCCAAAGCTACAGAGAAACCCTGTCTCAAAAAAACAAAAAAAGAAAGAAAGAAAGAAAGAAAGAAAGAAAGAAAGAAAGAAAGAAAGAAAGAAAGAAAGAAGTTAGAGCTTACGTGGAAACACTCTTTGGGGAAGGCTACCACCGGGGTTTGAGGCTGGGCTGTACCTGGTGCTGAAGAAATAGGAACACGTAGTGTTGAGCAGCATTTAGTTCTAGAGGTGGATTGGTGCTATGAGTCTGCCTAAAGCAAGGGACTTGAGCTAGGCCTCGGGGCACAAGCCTAAATCCTAGCAGGACACTGGGACAGGAGAATCATGAGAGTTTGAGTCTATCCTGGGGTACATAATGGATTCCAGTGCCTGGGAACATAGAAAGACATTGTTTCATAAAATTCATAAAAGACAGCTCAGGAAGCCTTTGGAGGTTGAAAGGTCTTCTTGCCTCCTTTTTTGTTTGTTTGTTTGTTTGTTTGATTGACAACTCTTTTCCGTTGCCTAAAGAAGAAAGATCACCTCCAAAGCCACAGAGAAACCCTGTCTCGAAAAACCAAAAAAAAAAAAAAAGAAAAAAAAAAAAAGAAGAAGAAAGATCACCTTAGGACCTTAGGACCCAGTAGGTACAATAGAAACTGGTTGGATATAGGTGTTGGATAAGGCTGGGCTGAGCCCTGGTTAACCACTGCATGGTGATAGGATCTTGACCAAGTTGTGTTGTCTGTCAACTCTGGGCTTGGTAAGACAAAGCTGAAAGAATGATCTCATCCACAGCAGGCACTGTAAACGTTTCATTTGCTTCCTCCCTTGCTTCTTGTCTGCCCACAAAAAAATTGTAAATTGAACACTTGGGTCTGGCCACTCAGTGTCCTTCCTCCTTGTCAACCCTGACTTTACCCTCGCCAGTTAACCATGGAGAAAAGTTCTATTTTTTGTGATTCCTTTTTATTTTTGTTTTATATGCATTGGTGTTTTGCCTGTGTGTGGTTTGATCCCTTGGAACTGGAGTTATTGACAGTTGTGAACTGCCATGTGAATGCTGGGAATTCTAGGGTCTAGAAGAGCATCCCCTGCTCTTAATTTCTGACCTCTCTCTCCAGCCCCTCAAATTCTATTCTAATACTAGCTATAAATACCAGGATACCTCAGGTTGCTTTTTGCACTAAAATGCAGAGCCCTTGTTTCCCTTGGGCTCCTAAAACTCCAAATGGGAAGTTTTAGAAGAGAGGACTGGGCATCCTATCCGCCTGTACTGAAATAAGAGAAAGGAGTGGTGTCATAGACAGCCTCCCACCTGCTTAGAGAGATTCAATCCTTGCAAGCACCTACTTACACCCTCCCTCTTTCCCAGTAGGAATGCCAGACCAAACATCTGTGTCTGAGACCATGATTTCCAGGATGAAAAGATCCAATGTGGAAGGCAAATCTAGAGGCCACAGCAGTTCAGACACTTTTCTGCATGGGGCACCGCTAGCACACGGTTTTCTTAGTCCTGGGCAAGTAGCACCAAAGGGGGTGGTGTAGTGAGTGCCTAGAGTAGCTTCCTCCAGGATTTGACATTCTGACCTAGAATCAGGCTAGTTTTCCAGGAAGGGAACCTAGCTTGAGAACTTTGTTTCATTCTGTGGCATGTCACTAGTTACAGATGTGACTTTCTATTGCATTTGGGATATATTGTGCACGCCATTATTTGAGTCAATGGCTCTGTTTTGAGCAGCATGGTGAAGACGGCCATCTGCCATGCCCCTTCAGTGCTCACAGATAGTAGAGTATGGTTTGAACTTGGGTTCTAAGGAATAATTAAATGAAACTCCAGGCTAGTATTTTAAAAGCAGAAAAATGTTTGTGGGGGTAAGTTATTATGTATACTAAACAACTTCTCTGTTTTATTTATTCCAGGAGAACTACCCAATCCCTGAGCCAGGCCCAAATGGTATGTCCATGGGAAGCTGACCTGACATGGTACTCGCTGGTACTGGCCTTGGAGGCGTGTGCACTGACCTCTGCCCCCCTTTCCTACTGGTCAGCATGTTTACTTCTTTTTCCATTGGCCACAGTGGTTTATCTTGGCTACTATGTGAAATATAAGACTCAGTGATAGAAGAGAAAAACTAAGATACCAGACTGCTGAGCTGCACTAGATTTTTAGTGTGAAGCATGTGGACCAAAGGCAGAACCAACCCTTTCTACCTAACAGCCAGTGTCCTGTCTACCAGATCAGATGCCAAATCATATTCTGGTTCTAGAAACCTACAGAGCTAAATCTTGTAGTTAGCAAAGGAGCACTGTGTTAGCACACCCAAGAGGGCCAGCCCAGAACTATCTGCCTGTCCAGCAGGGGTGGGAGGGGCTGCAGGAGGCCTGTCCCTTCCTTTAATCAACCAAGTACAGAAAGTGACTGAGCATGTAGGAGCAGGGCTCTGAACACCTTTGCTCCACTTTTCGGCCTCTCGGTGGGTGAGCCCACTGGACTGAGCTGTCATGCAGGTTTCCTGGTGGTATCTAGACCTGGGGAGGTCATGCCAACTATTGGCTAGTGGATATTTCTTCCATCCAAGAATCCAGTTCATAGTCTGTAGGATTCCAGGGTGAGGCTAGGGACAATGGACAGGATCTTACATCCCTCAGATCCCTTTGCTCTTCTTGATGACTTGGGATGTCCTCTCTACCCTGCCTCACTTTAGCCCAGAAGCACGGAGTCTGGGTGAACATCAGTTAAAGCCACCTTTCTTGGTAACTCCTGAACTTCGATACTCAGAGGTCAGCTGCATTATTGACTTAGAATGATAAGATATAAATATCTTATATTTATATATAAGATATATTTAAATTGACCATTTCTATCAGTGTTTAGCAAGCAATGCAAATTTAAGGCTTAAACATTTTCACAAAGATACCATGTTCAGAAAAGTGGAGGAGGTGCCTCACTGTACCCTGACAAGATAGCTTTGGTTGAGGGGTGGCCAAGTAAGGACTTGCTTGGACTGTGAAGGGCCCTCTCCCACCCAGCCTACTGTCATTCTTTTGTCTTTTGCTTTAGTTGAATTGGAAGAGAAAGTTTGTCGGAAAGCGAGTGTTCCAATAAGTTAGATCTCAATTCTTGCTGCAAACAGTGGACTTCTATAGGGAAAGCTCAGAGAGAGTTTTTCTGATTTCAGTAATTTTTTTTCTATCTTTGATCTCAGAATTCAGCCTGCCATTCCTAACTGCTCAACCAAAGACAAGGGCAAAGACAGCCCTTCAGAGCCACACCTAGGGGTTTTGCTGTGGTTTGTGGCAAGGACAGTAGCTAACATGTCTGGGTGCACAGCAGAACTTTTGGGCCTCTTTGTCTGTTGACAGTGGAATTTTTCCCAGGGTGGTGCTCATGATGTGGTTGTCTCCATCAGACAGAGCCCGGAATCTTTGGGTACCTGCTTGAGCTGAGAGGCCCAGACATCATTTTTTCCTTTTTTTTAAATTGATTTTTTTGAGCATTTTTCTCTGCTCCCCTCCCCTCAACCCTCTCCCATGGTCCCCATGCTCCCAATTTACTTAGGAGATCTTGTCTTTTCCTCCTTCCCGTGTTAGATTAGATCCACTTATATGTATCTTAGGGTTCTCATTGTTGGCGAGGTTTTTTGGGATTGTGATTTTTAGGCTGATTTTCTTTGCTTTACATCTAAAAGCCACTTATGAGTGAGTACATATGATATTTGTCTTTCTGGGTCTGGGTTACCTCACTCAATATGATGTTTTCTAGATCCATCCATTTGCCTGCAAATTTCAAGATGTTATTTTTTTCTGCTGTGTCGTACTACATTGTGTAAATGTATCACATTTTCCTTATCCATTGTTTGGCCGAGGAGCCTTTTGGTTGTTCCCAGGTTCTGGCTATGACAAACAATGCTGCTATGAACATAGTTGAACATATGTCCTTGTGGCACAATTGAGCATCCTTTGGGTATATGCCCAAAAGTGGTATTACTGGGTCTTGAGGAAGGTTGTTTATTAATTTTCTGAGAAATCGCCACACTGACATCCAAAGGGGTTGTACCAGGTTGCATTCCCACCAGCAATGCAGAAGTGTTCCCTTTTCCCCACAGCCTCTCCAGCGTAAGTTGTCATCAGTGTATTTGATCTTGGCCATTCTTACAGGTGTAAGATGGAATCTCAGAGTTGTTTTGATTTGCATTTCTCTGTTGACTAAAGATATTGAGCATTTCCTTAAGTGTCTCTCAGCCATTTTAGATTCCTCTGTTAGAGTTCTCTGTTTAGGTCGGTTCTCCAGTTTTTTTTTTATTGGATTATGTGATCTTTTGGTGTCCAATTTCTTGAGTTCTTTGTATATTTTGGAGATCGGACCTCTGTCTGATGTGGAGTTAGTGAAGATCTTTTCCCATTCTGTAGGCTGCCGTTTTGTCTTGTTGACCATGTCCTTTGCTTTACAGAAGCTTTTCAGTTTTAGGAGGTCCCATTTATTAATTGTTTCTCTCAGTGTCTGTGCTACTGGGGTTATATTTAGGAAGTTGTTTCTTTTGCCAATGCATTCAAGTGTACTTCTCACTTTCTTTTCTATCAGGTTCAGTGTGGCTGGCTTTATGTTGAGGTCTTTGATCCATTTGGACTTGAGTTTTGTGCGTGGTGATAGATATGGATATATTTTCATTTTTCTACATGTCAATACCCAGTTATGCCAGTACCGTTTGTTAAATATGCTTTCTTTTTTCCATTTGATATTTTTTGGTTCTTTGTCAAAAATCAGGTGTTCATAGATAGGTATGTGGATTAATATCTGGGTCTTCGATTCAGATCCATTGGTCCTCCTGTCTGTTTTTATGCCAATACCAAGCTCTTTTCGTGCTGTAGCTCTGTAGCAGAGTTTGAAGTCAGGAATTGTGATGCCTCCAGAAGTTCTTTTATTGTACAGGACTCTTTTGGCTATCCTGGGTTTTTTGCTTTTCCATATGAGTTGAGTACTGTTCTTTCAAGGACTGTGAAGAATTTTGCTGGGATTTTGATGGGCATTGCCTTGAATCTGTAGATTGCTTTTGGTAAGATTGCCATTTTTACTATGTTAATTCTACCTACCCAAGAGCATGGGAGATCTTTCCACTTTTTGGTTTCTTCTTCAGTTTCTTTCTTCAAAGATTTAAAGTTCTCGTCATACAAGTCTTTCACTTGTTTGGTTAGAGTTACTCCAAGATATTTTATGTTATTTGTGGCTGTTGTGAAAGGTAATGTTTCTCTGATTTTTTTCTCAGTCCACTTATCATCTATGTAAAGGAGGGATACTGATTTTTTTGAGTTAATCTTGTATCCTGCTACATTACTGAAGGTGTTTGTGAGTTGTAGAAGTTCCTTGGTAGAATTTTTGGGGTCACTTATGTAAACTATCATATCATCAGCAAAGAGTGAGAGTTGAACTTCTTTTCCAATTTGTATCCCCTTGATCTCCTTTTGTTGTCTTATTGCTCTAGCTAGGACCTCAAGAACTATATTGAGTAGATATGGAAAGAGTGGTCAACCTTGTCTTGTTCCAGGCATCATTTTAAACTTGGGCACTTGACAACAATAGTCCTACCAAACCTCACTTGATTCAGTCCTCACAGGGGAAGTGTGAAGTGAACTTACAGGAGAGTTAAGTAAAGCTAAACCTTTTTAGAAAACAAGGAGCAGGAGGGACTTAACATGGCAGTTTATCATGCAGTGGCCAGTGGAGAGATTTTCAGGACGCTAAGAGTAGGCTCAGCACAGTGTTTGGAAACAGTTATCTCGGGCAAACCAGTTGTTCTTTTAAATGGTTGATACAGTGCTTCCTCCTCATGATATTTTGTTACAGCAGGATTGGTCAGGGTTCTCCAAACAGAACAAATAAGATATGTATGTATGAGCAGATATACGAGGTGGTGGGGAGAAGAGGGCAGTTTATTTTATGTTAAGCAACTGGCTCCTGTGGTTGGATGGCCTGGAAAACTCTAGGGCAGGGCAGCAGACTCAGGAAAAGCTTCCTGGGTTAGATTCTTAGGAAAGTTTCTCCTTCAGAAAATCTGGCTAGGTGGTGGTAGTGCACGCCTTTAATCCCAGCACTCAGGAGGCAGAGACAGGTGGATCTCTGTGAGTTCAAGACCAGCCTGGTCTACAAGAGCTAGGACAGGATTCAAAGCTACAGAGAAACCCTGTCTCGAAAAAAGAAAATCCCATCTTTGTGTACAAGGCCTTTACTTGATTGGATGGGCCCTACCTACTTTTATGGAAGATAATCTGGTTCATTCAGTCTGTTGGTTTAAATGCTAATTGTATCATAAAACCCCTCACAACAACTTACCCTGTGAGCAACATCTGCATGGGTGTTTGACTAAACAGCTGGGTCCACTGGCTAGGCAAGTAAACGTGTAAACTTACCCATCACACTCAGTGTCTTTGCTCGGTCAAGCTGTTCTGCTGTCCTCTGCTTGGGCTTTCTCCTTAGCTTGTTTTCCTTTGTAATCTCAATTTGTTCCTGTTGCGAAGAACCAGCTCTCTCCCTGGTCCAGAGGGAAATTGCTAGAGCTCCTGAGGGGAGAAGGCTCGCCTTTTTCCTCACGCGTTTTCTCTCCTTGGCTCTAACTAGAGGTGATCCTGAAGATGCACTCTGTGGGGATCTGCGGGTCAGATGTCCACTACTGGCAGCATGGCCGCATTGCGGATTTTGTTGTGAAGAAACCAATGGTGCTCGGGCATGAAGCTGCTGGAACAGTCACAAAAGTCGGAGAGAGGGTGAAACACCTCAAACCAGGTCAGTAGAAACATCGGTGTGTACTCTCCCTGAACCAATTCCTCTGCTAAGCACAGAGGTGCAGCAGTGGACAAGAGCCTTGGTTCCCTACCTCAGAGTGGGTGGAACACAGGCTTGGGACAGAAAGCAGATTCTTAATCAGAATGTGAGGTAGGAGAATGCAGGGGTCATTAACATGTCATGTCTAGACCCCTGTCTCCTTTAAAAAAGAGATGGGGTATGTAAAATAAATCAGAAAATGGGTTGAAAAAAATGTTCATATATAAGCCACAAACTGCTTCTGAATACTAAGAATAAAAACTTCTTTTATTTTACTTTTAATTATTTATTCATTTACTTTTGAGATAGTGCCTCACTCTGTAGCCCAGGCTGGCCCATACCTCACTTTGTAATCCAAGTTGGCCAAGAATGCTTGATATCCCAGGCTAGCCTCCATCTCAAGGTGATCCTTTTGTCCTAGCCTCCAGAGTACTATTATTAACAGCATGAGCATGTCTGGCTTGTATAATTTCCAGATGTGAGTCTATTTCCTGTAGGAATACTCTTTAATCACTGAGTATTCAAAGGAAGTCTGATGCTATTGTGAGAGAATGCGTACTCTGCATTTTGGAATGCACAGTGCACAACTGACTTGCCCATGATAGATCTATTCCAGCCCCACATCCTAGGCCAGCCTGTCTCAAACTGTGAGTCATGCTCACTTTGGAAGTTGCATATCAAATATCCTGCATATCAGATATTTACATTATAATTCATAACAGTCACAAAATTACAGTTATGAAATAGCAACAAAATAATTTTATGATTGGGGTCACCACAACATGAAGAACTGTATTAAAGAGTTACAGCATTAGGAAGGTTGAGAACCACTGCCCTAGAATCTTTGACTTAGAAAGATCATGATTTTCTTTTCAGATAGAAGCTCTTCTGGCCCACTTGGCTTCCATCTTGCTGTGTAGCCAAGGACATTCCTGCTTCTAGTCACTTAGTGTTTATCTCAGAGAACAGTTTAGCTTTAACAAGGCTAAGCCTCACACCCAACCTTTAAGCTAGTCAACTCATTTGTCTTTCATTCTAAATCTTCTTTTCTAATAGAATTTTTCATTCTCCAACAGTTTCATGCATATAAACAGTGTATCCCTCCCACTTTTGCCCCAGAATCCAGGAGTCCCCAGATTGCCCACACTTGAGTCTTTGCCTTAAAACAAACAAACAAACAAACAAACAAACAAAAACATCCAATTAGTACTGCCTGCTGGAATGTTGACTGGTCTTGTAGATTTGATCGTGTATGGGTCTTACCCAAGTAACCATAGCTACAGTAAGTTCATGAGTAAAAACAGCCATGCCAGGTCCAGAAGACAGCATCTCACAGCTCTTCCCCCATACTCTGGTTCTTACATTCCCTTAACTACCTCTTCCTAAATGATCCCTGCCTTGGTGTGTGGGGTTGAAGTAGGTGTCCTACATAAAGATGAACAGTCAAGAGTCATTTGTTCTCATCACTTTGACCAGTTATGAGTCTCTGCAGGGAGAAGCCTTTCCTGGCCAAGGTTGAGGGCAGCCCTAATCTAGGTGTATAAACGTAACTATTGAAAAGGTAGCTTGACAATGCATGCATGTAGCATGACAACAGTGTTAAGTTTCTCCCTAGGGCTTATAACATAGCCTTTCATTTTTTATTAGATGGCTAGGAAAACAACAGACTAGTAAAACCTGGGTTTGATTGTCCCAGAGTGCTGAGCTGCAGCAGACTACATTGTCCCCCAGCACAGTGAGTTACGTCTGAATTGGCTTGGCATAGGTGATGAGACCATTGCATGGCCTGGAGATGACTGCAGGTTCATTGGCAAGAGAAGCAGCTTAGTCTCTGAGACTAGACATAGAGAGGGATGAGTAAGCTTAGAAGTTAAACACGTGTCTCATTTAGGAGTCTTAAGTCAAGGCCTTCATTTGTTGTTAATGCAAGTTGAAAAAGCCCGTGGTTATACAGGCTTATCCCAAAGTGGAAGGCTCTTATCTTCCAGCAGCCAAGCAATGGCCGATCCCTGCATGTGGGACCAGGTTCTCTAAATTCTAGCAGGTGCTTAGTCAGTGTCTCCTATGGTTCAGACTTGGGTCAGGTACTTTGAGAAATGGGGAAAAAAATAGTGAGTCCTGGATTCATAGATCTAGTTAGGGAGACCAGATGTTAGAACTGTCAACACCACCAACAACTGGAGAAAGAAGTATATAGTCAGAGGTCAAAGAAAGGACACTGACAGTGAGCAAGGGTGGTTAAAGACATTTCATAATATTATCTTGGAGCTGGATATATGACAAGAATAATTTTAAAAGGAAGAAGAAAGCTTGTATGTATTGGTTTGCTGGTCATTAAACACCAGCACATGTAATTATTTATTACCACAAAGTACACATTATTAGCTTTATTAATAGATGCAGACAGTGGAATGTTGTTCTTGCCCAGGGTCACACACTGGCTAGTCTCAGAGCTGTCTGGAATGTCACCCTGTTCGATCTGGCTCAAGAGTGAATGTTTGAATCAATGAGCTGCCTGTCATCTGAGATTTGAGAATGTTTTGTTTTGAGTTAGTAAAGAGGGTCAGACAAGTAAAATGACACAGGCCAAGTAATGTGTCTGGGTTCTCAGACACCTATTCTCAGGCCGGATGTCTTCCAAAGACTGTACAAATGTGAATTGTATAATGTGGTAATATCTAGAAGGTTAAAGGGGATAATGTTAAACTCCATCTTGAAGGTCAAGTTGAGAATATCATCCTTTATGTGGGCATTGTTGTGTGAGCAGCAGGAGGAATACAGGGTGAGAACAGCCGAGGAAGGGTCGGGCGGGCTGAGAGGTACATCTTGAAAGCCACTGGGTTTCTGTGGATCCTTTGTGTTTTTAGAATATAAAGCTTTTTATAAATTTTTTTCAATTTAAAAAATTTTATGTTTATAGATATTTTGTCTATTTGTGTATCTGTGCACCATGTCACACCTGGTGTCTGTGAAAGCCAGAGGAGGGCATCAGATACCCTGGATCTGGAGGTACAGTTGGCTGTGAACCACCATGTGGGTGCTGGGAATTAAACTTGGGTCCTCTAGAAGAGCAGTCAGTGCTTTTAAAACACTGAACGGTCTCTCCAGCCCCGCCACCCCATTGTGGCAAAATATATATAAAGCAGACAACCTACTAATCTTAAGGCATGCTCAATTTAAGTGAAGAGTCCAGATATCCATAAAAATGATCTAGAAAATGAGAAACAAACAGTTCAAGAATAGTTTAGCCATCTGTGCTATACTCATAGGGTGGAATGCCATTCAGCCACAAAAAAGGAATAAACAATTGATACATAACAAGTATCAACCTACAAAAACACTTAATGAAAAGCCAGATGCAAAGAATGTATCCCATGTGATCCCAATTTTTAATGGTGTATAAGGAGCAGTGCTAATCTATAGTGAACAGACTCAAAACATCAGATGTCTTGGCTGGAGCGGGAGCTGACTAGAAATGGACACAGGGATGAAGTTTCTGTGTCCTGATGGCAGTTTTCCCTCACATAGGAAAAAATGTCTGTCAAATGTATTTACTACTCTACTTAAGACTTGTGTGGCTCATCATACCTACATTTTCAGTTATTAGGTTCTAGTGAATAACTGGCAGGCTGAAGAGTATTGGACATTTTTAGTCTATTTACAAGTTCACTAGAAAAGATGGATGGGGGCTGGGGCAGTGGCTCAGCGGTTCAGAGCACTGGCTGCTCCTCCAAAGAACTCAGGGTCAATTCCCACCACCCATACACAGCTCACAAATGTCTGGAGCTCCAGTCTTAGGGGATCCAGCACCTTCTCTGACCTCTGAGCACCATGCATACATGGACTGACTCTTAGTTACCATCTAAACTTCCCACATGTGGTGTCAGCCAGTGAGCCGGCATGCCTTCGCAGTGTTTCTGCCTCTGCTCTTGTTCTCAAAGGTTGGGAAGCAGAACCAGACCCAGCACAAGTGAGGCTCCTCTTCTGCTCTTAGATGTGGCCTGTCTTTGTCCTCTCCAGGTGATCGGGTTGCCATCGAGCCCGGTGTTCCCCGAGAAACAGATGAATTCTGCAAGATTGGCCGATACAATCTGACCCCGTCCATCTTCTTCTGTGCCACACCCCCAGATGATGGGAACCTGTGTCGGTACTACAAGCACAGTGCTGACTTCTGCTACAAGTTAGTACCTAACACATCCCTATACCAGAGAGGGAGAGAGAGAGAGAGAGACAGAGAGAGAGAGAGACAGAGAGAGACAGAGACAGAGAGAGACAGAGAGAGAGACAGAGACAGAGAGAGACAGAGACAGAGAGACAGAGACAGAGACAGAGACAGAGACAGAGAGACAGAGACAGAGAGACAGAGAGAGACTCATTTGTAGTTCTGTCTGGCCTTGAGCTCAAAGACACGTAGATCTGGATAAGTAACCTCAAACTCAGAGAATGCCCGCTTCGTGCACCACCACGCCCAGCTCAGCATTAGTTTTAAATACAAGGCATTAAAGGCAGGCCTTCCCTTCTTGGTGGCACCGAGAGAATGTAGCCTGCCTGGGGCTCAGTCTGACTCACAGTGGCCTTCCAGTGTCTCTTCCCATTACCTGGAACAGTAATAGAAACTCATCACCAAGATCACTCACCCCTTGCTGCCATTCTGGAGAGAACTTGCCATAACTCAGCCTTCCCTTCAGTTTCCACTGCAGCCACAGAGAGAAAAGTTACGGCTAGGTGTGTTGTCCTGCGCCTCTAATCCCAGCACTCTGGAGGCAGAGGCAGGCCAGCCAGAGCTATATATCCAGAGCTTGTGTGAAGTGGGAGACTAACAACCACCACCAATAGCAACACCTTCCAGGGTTTTACTGAGGAACCTGAGTGTGGTCCTGGGGCATGAGTCCTAGCATGCTAGGTCCATTCACTCCTGTGACCTTGCTTCTCTTAGCCAGCAGAAGAGTAAATTAGGCAATGCATGGAAAGTCATTATTACTCCATACATGTGCTTGTTTAGAATAGGGCTTTACATGCCTAATGCATGATGAATGACAATAGGATGAGTAACATTGGTCCAGTTTTATGCCAGGCTTAAGTGAAGCAGAAGAAAGCTAATGAACTCAGGCACAGAGCACAGCCAGGGTACAAACTGCCCTTCCCTTGCCTGGAACAGTCTTGAGCTGAGAAGCTACATCTGAGAGATACGTCCTGCATACTGTACCATGGAGCCTTAGGCTGCTGGCGTGCACCAACCCAAGTGTTTTCCTTCCATCTAGCATACTGGCAGCTCTCAGACAGTATGGGGGCTTGTGTGATAGAGGGGACTTGTGTGATAGAGGGGGCTTGTGTGATGAAGGCTAAATGTACCAAGGACAGGAATGGTCTGACAGATCTAATTGAGATTTTTTTGTTTTGTTTTTTTTCAATTTTTGTTTTGGTTTCTTCTTCTTCCTCCTCCTCCTTGTCTTCTTTTTCCTCCTCATTCTTCTTCAACAAGATCTCACTATATAGTCCAGACTGGCCTGTAATTGACTCTGTAGTCTAGGCCAACAACAAACTCATAGCAATCCTTGTGCTTCTGCTGCCCAAGTTGTTGCGGTTGCAGACAGGCACCCCCAGCTGGCTATAGCTGATATGCTCCAGTACTCCCTGCAAACTCAGAGAAGAGGCATAGGCCAGAGACCTTGTGTGTTGCTGCTGCCTGTTGTATGATCCCCATTTCCCAGGGGGCGGGGATGAGAAGATGTGGAGGCAACAATACATTCTCCAAGAGATTCCAATACAGAGCTCTTTATTGTAAAAAGGTCGGGTTTTGTGTTTTTTTTTAATATTTATTTATTTGTTTATTATGTATACAGTATTCTTCCTGCAGGCCTCATTACAGATGGTTGTAAGCCACCATGTGGTTGCTGGGAATTGAACTCAGGACCTTTGAAAGAGCAGGCAATGCTCTTAACCGCTGAGCCATCTCTCCAGCCCCCTTGTGTGTGTTTTTTTTTAATGATATTAGGGAAATTAAGTTGCTGCAAGAATTTTTTGGTCACTGCTGGTGTGTTATGATTGGCTAAGAGTGTGCATCATTCGTTACTGTGCTTTTGGCCCACTGACAGGTTGTTTTGTCCAGTTTTGCTCATTCATTGTGAGTTTGCATGCTCTTGCTTGTGCTTGCACTATTGCCCTGCCTCACTTGTGGTAATGATTGAGGCCAACCCCCAAGACTGCCCTAGAGGAGAGCAGACTATACAGACTGTATGTGTCAGCAAGGGGGTCCTGAATCAGCCATCTTTTTCTGGGTCCGATGCCAAGTTAAGCCTTAAACAGCCTTTCATGAAGGCAGAGGAACACTGGTAAAGCTCAAAACAGCAGTCTCTGCCATTTGCTTACCATATGACCTTGACCAAGGTCTTTAGTATTTGAAATCCTCAGAATCCTTGCCTGTAAAATAGAAATCATGACAGTATCTCTCTCATTAGAACAGTCAACGTATTCAATGGGAAGAGTATATCAAGTGTTTCACATGGCACATGGCAGGTGCTCAGTGATGGGGGTCCAGGTTCAGGCCTGAGGAGGGAGGCTTGGCTGAGATGGGCATGGGTGGTTCGTGGTGGCGAGTGATATGCTGGCTATCGGTGATCGTGGCAGATCTGAGGAATCCCTAGGGGCCGTGTAGCTTCTGCCTTTCCTTCAAGGCTTCCTAGTGCCTCTTCCCGCTGTGGCTCAGCCCTAGCCTCCCTCTTTGATTCTGTTTCTGAGAATTCCTATGCTACCACAGCGTCTGTATTTCCTACCCTATGTCTTCTGGTGTTTAGCTTCCTCCTTGGATTCTTAACCATCCTTTATCTTTTTTTTTTCTTTTTTTTCTTTTTTTTTTGTTTTTTGTTTTTTGAAACAGCGTTTCTCTGTAGCTTTGGACCTGGAACTAGCTCTTGTAGACCAAGCTGGCCTCGAACTCACAGCAATCCGCCTGTCTCTGCCTCCCGAGTGCTGGGACTAAAGGTGTGTGCCAGCTTTGCCCAACTTCATCCTTTACCCTTTTATCTGTTCGCTGAACCCTGTTGTAAAAACCACCAAGTTGCCTGTTCCCTGGTGTTCTTAAATTACAAAAGGCCCAGGTTAACAAAAGCCCTAGTGCTCTGATCCCTTTCCCTTGGACAGCGGTAGAAGGACTGCTCTTAGACTCCTGGTCTTCTGTCTGCATGTCTGAGCCTTGCTCTCAGCCTGCTGCAGGTGTGGGGAGGCAGTACCTGGCTGACAGGTACTCCCGTCTCACTCCGCCCTCTTTTCTTTTTACTGTTCTTATTCTACAGAAAGGCAAAGATAGGAGAGAGGAGCACTCAGCTGTAGAACCACTCCTAGCTCTGTAGGAGAATGTGAGGGCAGGGCGTTGTATCTGAGAGGGTGTGTGTGCAAAGGGGTTGCTTCATGGCAGTTTAGAAATCTTCCTTGTTTCATTTTTCTTCTTAAACAAAATGTTTAACATTTTGTTAAACATAGGGTGAGCAGAGTATGACTCAGACTGTGGGGCATGGTGTGAGAGAAGCAGAGGCCTTGCGTTTATTCTGTAAACCACTATAACAATGGCAAAAGGCTGGTGGGCTCAACACACGTCTAGCTGCCACATTGATTTCTCTGGGGAACTTACAGGTTTCCACGTTTGCACGTGTTGCTGGGGACTGAGTAAACACTGGATAGCAAGGAACCAGCAGAAATAAAGTAGCACCAGAGCTACTTGTGCCAAGAGGCCCCTGATGTGGGGCACATGAGGGCAATCAGGGCTCCTTGGCTTGCATCTTGCTGGGAATCAGCCTTGCAATCTTGTCACTGAGGAATAAAGGTGAAACTAAGCCTGCCCTGCCTGCTTGGCAGGGTTAGATGGAATAATGGGTGAGAAAGCATTCTAGTCTGCCAGGCCTCCCTCAAATACTCACTGCCACCAGTGGGATTGTGGATGTGGTTGAGATGCCAGTGGGTTCAGAAGAGAAAACCAAGAACCTAGTGGCTTAGGTGACACATTGTTAACTCAGCTCTTTGGAACAATCCCTGTTTCCATCTCAGCCTGGCAGCTGCTGTCACCAGATGTGGTTCTGGAGTAGATGACCGGAGATGATAGCAGAGAGGCGCTCACAGTGAAGTCATCGCCTGGCAAGGCGGTAGGGGCTGCTAGAGGGAAACCAGCCATGCTGAGAAGTCAAGAAGCCGAAAGTGAGAGTGCTGGTTATGTTAGCCATTTGTTATGCGAGCTTTCATTGGTTAATGACAACCATGCCACGCCTTAGCTTGGGAGGCATGTTGGAAAAACACATAGTGTGGGCCAGTGTTTATGTGCAGGGACAGAGTTCAATCCCCAGCACAGAAGGAAAAAAATCAGCAAAAACCGTGACATAGTCACTGAAATCTGAAGTGATTTCGCCAAAGAAAATTACTTTCCTGGGGCAGAATGGCAGGACTTTTGGAAGCAAGCATTTCTGGCTTCCACTTCAACCCCTTTGAGCCCCTACTTTGAACTTCTGAGATAAGGCATTTAACTCTTGCAGCCTAATTTCTTTCTCAATAGACTGGGGGTAACAAAACTACTGCTGAACCGTTCTAACAGTGTGGTGAGCAAGTGTATATAATGTGCTCAGCGCATTGCTGTACACATACATAAGTCAATGCAAATGTTAACTGCTGTAGCGGCTTTAGGCAAATACAGAGTAATACCAGTGGTAGATTATAGTAGTAATTCTGTACTATGGTAGTGCAGTGTTAATAGCATTGTCAGTACCTAATAAAGTAAGAGACCCTAATTGTGTATGCTGGATTACTTCTCAGGCTTCCTGACAATGTCACCTTTGAGGAAGGGGCCCTGATTGAGCCTCTCTCTGTGGGGATCTATGCCTGCCGTCGAGGTTCAGTTTCTCTGGGGAAAAAGGTCCTTGTGTGTGGAGCTGGTAAGAAAAAGGGCCCCTGACTGTGGGTTCACTGCCTGGGGACGTGGAAATCCCTTCCCCATTTCATTCCTTCTCCAGGTGATTCTAGACCCTTTCTGGGTAGGAGAGGGTTACAGTGCCTCCTTCAATGAGCAGCCCTTGGCTAAATAAATGAAGCATCGAAGGTGGATGTAATGGCACACATCTGTATCTCAGCATCAGGAGACTGAGGCAGGAGAATTTCTGTGTATTCCAGGCCAATCTTGGTTACACAGTGAGACCCTTTCTCAAAAAGCCCAAACAAACAAATAAATAAAATATCTATAAGCATGGTAGTAACTTACATTAGATTTCATAGGGAATATAACCTTCTATCCATTTAAATAATAAAAAATCTTGCAATAATTTTTGAACCCTCAATAAAACTGGGGAAATTTTGGTAGTAAAGTGGAGAGTAACTTTTGTAACTTGTAAGTCACACTAGAGAAAGGATAGCCTTGCCTCCTAGGCAAAGGAAGTAGGTAGGCCCTGTTCACAGAAGGAAGGAGCCCAGCCACTGAGTTTTCTCCCATCTCCTGCTTCTGGCCACTTGAAGCAAATCCCAAAGGCCTAGACCAAGTCACCTGAGTTTTTAATTGCTGTAACCCAAACGATACACACACATGCACGCACGCACGCACACATGCTCACAGGAAGTCAGTCAAAGTTCATTACTCATAGCCTGAGAGAACTGCTGTTACTATTTTGGTGCAGAATCAGTTAGCTTTAGTTTTATGGTTTGTTTTGCTTTTGACTGAGGTCTTTCTGGGTAGCAAGATTGGCTTCCAGCTCAAGGTGCTACTGCTTCTGCTGCCGACTGCTGGGTGGATTTTGTGTGCGACTTAAAAATATGGCTTTTAAAAAATAGAGCCTTGCTTTGTAGCTCAGGATAGTCTTAAACTTAAAATCCCACCGTAGCCTCCTGAGTGCCAGATTACAGGCTTTATGCCACTGAGTCATCGTTTGCTCCCTTAAAAACAAAACGATAAACCCAGGCTGTGGAGATGGCTCAGCTGGTAAAGCACCCACCACCGAATCTGATGACCTAAGTAAGCTTAATTCTCGGGACCCACGTGAAAAAAGAGAGAACTGAATTCTGCACATTGTCTTCGGACCTCCACACATGTGCCATGATACATGAACCTACTTGCACACATGTACACATGCACACATATAGTAAATAAATGCAATACGAAAATCATTATTCTGTAAACATTTCTGTGTCGATAGCTGCAGAGTTGTAGCCTAATTTTCAAATCTGTGTCGTTAACCACTCCTGCAGTGCATATAACCAGCCACTCACTTTGGATACTTTAGGTATCATTTTCCAGTGTTTGGTTTCCTGGAGAAAAAAAACACAAAGTTGTTTTCAAGGGGATGCATACAAAAAGCAAACTCAAAGTATTCCTTATTGTCCCATTCTGTGGGACTTTTTTTTTTGAGACGGTTTCTCTGTGGTTTTGGAGTCTGTCCTGGAACTAGCTCTTGTAGACCAGGCTGGTCTCGAACTCACAGAGATCTGCCTGCCTCTGCCTCCCGAGTGCTGGGATTAAAGGTGTATGCCACCACCGCCCGGCTTCTGTGGGACTTTTACAGTAAAATCACAGTGCCATTTACCAAGCAAATACCGTGGGAGTGGGTGGGTCAACCCAGGGGCCCACCTCACAGAAGACGGGTACTGGGGTGTCAAGGAAGAATGTGATTTTCCCTGGGGAGCGGTGGAATGTTCTCTGAAGTTGGATCTGGAAAACATCCAGATCTTCTGATTCCTCATTTCCAGTTCTTTGAGATTCTCTCCAGCAATGCCTTAGTGAAGGGGAACCAGCTGTAGCTCTGAACTATGAGGGATCAGACAGAACTTACTGCTAGGAACGTGTTTCATGAAAAGAACAACCCTTCACCCATTTGTTCACATCTACATCATGAACAGTTTTAACATCTCATTGTGTGCCAGGCACTTGGAGAAACACTAGCAACACACATTTACACACACACACCGTAGTCCTTGTCCGGGGCTCAGGCAGGGGGAAGCTGATGTTTCGTAACATGCAATCTTCTTCATTCTCTGCCTTGTCTAGGGACAATTGGGATAGTCACTTTGCTTGTGGCCAAAGCAATGGGAGCTGCTCAAGTGTTGGTGACTGGTAAGAGGGGTCTCTTTCAGACTTGGCGCTCTCATTTCCTTGCCCCCAATCCCACCTCTTAGAGGGTATACCACCTCAGAACTCCACACTGGAGAGCAAACCTTTGTGTGAACCTTTAGAGGACAAACCACCACACTTCCTGAAGTGCTGGTGTCTGAAGAGCTTCTACCTCCTGTCTCCTGGGTTGTCCAGGAATGACTAACTCAGGGTTCAGAAGTATCTCCTCTCCGCTCCCCACTCCCAAGACAGGTTTTCTCTGTGTAGTCCTGGCTGTTCTGGAACTCACTCTGTAAACCAGGCTGACCTCAAACTCACAGAGATCTTCCTACCTCTGCCTGCAGAGTTCTGGAATTAAAAGTGTGCATCACCATTGCCTGGTAGAAGTCTCTTTACTTCTTCTGTAGTTCCTTATGTATGGGCTTCATACTACCCTGTGAATGCTAAGAGGAGGCTTCAGCCTTTGGTCTGACTGAATTTAGAAAGCAAAGATTGTGTGTGTGTGTGTGTGTGTGTGTGTGTGTGTGTGTGTGTACCTATGTAGAACTGTGTAGAACTAGGAGGCCATGCAGAGGTATTTTGCAGAAGGAAAGGGTGTCTATGCGTGAGCACATAGTGGGCAGCGTGTAAGGTGTGGGGTCTGTTGAGCTCAGCAGCTCACCCCTTGCGCTGCAGACAGCTGCATCAAATCTTGTACCTCCATTCTCTTCCTAGTCAGTTCTCTGGCTTCTGCATTTGAACTAACTTCTGTTTTCCTTTAGACCTATCTTCCTCTCGGTTGGCCAAAGCCAAGGAAGTTGGAGCTGATTTCACCCTCCAGGTTACCAAAGAGTCTCCTCAGGAAATTGCCAATAAAGTGGAAAGCATGCTAGGGAGCAAACCGGAAGTCACTATTGAATGCACAGGAGCGGAATCCTCCATCCAGACGGGCATCTATGTGAGTGAGCTGAGGGCAGCTTGCTGCTGTGCAACTTGGGGCAGAGGTGGTACAGAGTAGTAAGGAGAGCAGTAGTGAGGAGATCCGCCATCGAGCGCCATTGGGCTGCTGTGTGACTCCCCAATCAGCTAACACCTCTGCACTTTGTTCTCTCGCCTTTTGTGTGTACTTGCTTTGAGCCCTCATTGAGTCCTAATGAGCCCTCATTGAGTCCTAATGAGGTTCAGTTGTGGAAAGCAGACACGCGATGCCCTTTCAGGATGGGGCTGCCTTTAGCATTGCTCCAGTACCCGGAAAGCCTGCTTTCGACAAAACCATTAGCAGGACAAACAGAAGACCATGCCTTAGTAGAGTAGGAAGTTCCTGTATTGTTTTATTGAGGAAGACTAGTCTTTGAGTCATTGATACAAAACAACAGCTAGTGATTCACCTAGTCGCCAAGGTGAGGTGAGTTTTCAAGGCTAAAATTGGTAAGTGGGGTGCTATCTTCCAGAAGAAGGAGGAGCCGATAAGCTGCCCATATCTGATTCACCCCCAAGGTTCCACCCCTCCAGCAACTTCTGGGAAACAGAGAAGGAGCTGGGGTGGGGGAGGGTGTGGCATGGACAGAGCAAAGTACAAGGAAAAGAGGAAAAACAAGCCTCCTGTATGCCAGTCCTCTGCTGGGCATTTTGTAGGCATGATGCCTCTGTACCTTAGGTCTGAATCCAGTTAACACGTTACAGTGAGAGTCCAGGAACCTCTTCCAAGTCCCCAGGTTTGAGTCAAGAGTCAATCCCGGCTCTGCCGAGCCCACTGAATGGGAAGGATTGAACAAACAACTGTGCTAGGATGGGAGGGCCTGAGCAGGGAGGAGCTCCTGCCTCTCCTCCTAAACTGCTTCCCACAGGGCCACGGGCTTCTCTTTTCCTTCTGAGTCATAGCTAGCTCATGCCCAGGGCACTTTGCAGCACGTGAGACAGAAGGCTAACATCTCTAGCTATGGTACGCCCTCCAGCCTGGAACTCTTGCAGAGCTGTGTTTCCTCCTGTCAAGATGCTTAGTGTCACAGAGGGCAAGGAGGTGGCAGGAAGGATAAGCAAGTATCACTTGGTCCTGTCCTGAGTTTCTGTTAGAATCAACCCGTCTTCTGTTCCACTCTCATAGCCAGTGGTTTCCATGTGGGGAAAGGCAAATTGATCCCAAAACTATGCAAGATGATGAGTCTGTGAGTGGCACCTCCTGGGTGCCAGGCTCTGTGTTAGACACATTGCTGGTGATGAGAGAGAAGAAGGTATATCTACCATCTTCAGGTGATACCATACCACAGAGGGGCAATGAAACTTGGTGGATGTAACTGTTCTTCCTCTCTGCCCTGATACTTGGGAACAGATGTCACCTCCAGTAGTTGGTAGCGTAGGCCAGTTGCCAGACTGACTACCTGGGATGGTGTAGATGTGGCTGTGACCTGAGGGACTTCCCAGGCATGAAGTGATGTCTCTCTGACATGGAGCCATCTTGCGTAACATGGACTTCAGAAGGTGTGGTCATACTGCCAGTGAGCGCAGCAGGCAGTAGCGCCAAATATGGGCACAGCTGAGCATCACCTTCCTGTCAGGGAGGTGACTGGATGCTGTCTGTGTGATGTGGTAGATGCCCTTGGGTAGAATGGATGTCATCTCATGGTATATTGACCATACCCAGAGTAGTCAAGTAATCTGAGCATTCCTTGGCCTGTGGCTGCATATTGCTGGCCCCTGCTACTTGGAATAGCCAGCAAGTTCCTCCTCATTGTCAGAGAGGGCAACTCCCAAGGGGAAAGCATTTCTCTGGAAAAGCTGTTATTTAAGAGTTTACTGTGACTCAACCCATAGCTTTGACCTCCTGCCCATCTCCAGTGGAGACAGTGATGCTTTTTCCATTACATGTCTATTCTGGGTTGTTTATAAGCAATTCTGCACTTCAGTGAAAGCATAAAGCAGCCAAAAACTGCACACACAATGATACCAAGCCCTGTGATTGTTAGCCACGAGGTGCTAGCTGAAAGGCCAAGTTGGTTGCTCAGAGGTTTTAGCAGCAGGAGTGGCCTCACAGTGCTGCACCCTGGAGTACCACCTCTCCTCTGGCTACTGCAGGCCTCTCTCCATGACATTTCCTACCCCTCCCCTCAGAGGGGCTGGCTGTGTGCCTCCCTGTCGCTCTGTTTTGTATCTCTCAGAATGGTCAGGTGTAAGTGTCGCTGCCATGTCTGGCTATCACTGAAATTTTGCAGGACTAATTGCTCATTTTCCTGCTGATGCCACAGGCCAGCACTGTACTTACACAGCATCACATAGAAATTGCCAGGAGATCCTCTCCCTCCTCTGACATGCTTCAAGAAGGGAGTGGCTCCCTGGAGTCTAATTTCATGACATTAGCAGAGTGCTGGATTTCCAGACAAATATTTAGGAAAGACAGATCCATTCTGCTCAATGCCTTTGAGGTGTAGAACAAATGCCTCCTGCCTGCCTCTGTGGGTGAAGTTGTTTTTAGAGCACAGGATCCACAGCCTGTTTGTGTGACAGCTGCAGTTTTCTCACTACTGATGAATTCAGAGGGTGGTTTCTTACTTTCATTTTGATTTTTTTTGAGATGTGGGATCTCATTATGTAACTCTGACTAATTTGGCCCTCACTCTGTAGGCACACTGGCCTTGAATGGTCAGCAATCCTCTTGCATTGCCTCCTTGGTGCTGGGTTTGCAGTGTGTGCCACCATGCCCAGCCGAGACTGACGGCACCCTTACACTTCTGCACACCCTGGGCGGCACAGTGAAGAGATTAGTAGTGTAGCAAGAGTCACGTTCTCTGGACTCCTGTATATCCTGAGTTCTCTGGTTTATTTCTTCCCTAGGCCACTCACTCTGGTGGGACCTTGGTGATTGTGGGAATGGGCTCTGAGATGGTCAATTTACCCCTAATGCACGCAGCCATACGGGAAGTGGATATCAAGGGCGTGTTTCGGTACTGCAACACGTGAGTATGCTGAGGGTGATCCAAGGTGACCAGCAGCCAGCATGGTCAAGGCAGGTCCCATGCAGCCTCTGAGACCAGGAGTCTCTGCGTGTTTATTTATGAGAGGCACTCCCTGACCACACTGCCAGCACCCGATATGATAGGGCTGCTAAGAGAAAACATGTACTTCTTCCTCAGAGGGAGGAGCAGACAGGGAGGGGGTTTGGGTCTGCCACTCAGCACCTAAGCCCTCCTCCCTCCCTACTACAGCCAGACTTCCCTTCCTCTCCTTTAAAGGGAATCAGGGGTCTCTTTGGGGGTAGAGCTGCTTTTCACCCACCCTATCCATATCCTACTGCTTCCCACTGTGTGCAGCAAGGATGCTCTGACTGGAGCATAGCGGTGCCTCATACGCCCAGCTTATCCCTCCTTGTCCTCAGCAGAGCGCCCACTTTGCATTCGCCTTTGCCAAGCTGGGCTACTAATCTGTGCGAATGGGTTATCTCGGCCTGTTCCTGGCCACTTCCCCATTTACTGCCTTTTCACACTGGCCTCTATAGTATCACTCAGTCCTTCGCAAAGAACATCTAGGCTTCATGGCCTAAACTGCAGAACAAGGGGTTGGAGGCTTGGATATGGCAACTGAAAGTCTCTGTACCTGCAGATAACAAGCCACAGGCCTTCACTATGGAGCTGACCTTGTACAAGGACCGTGCTAGAAATAAATGTGACTGAGCAGTTTCTGGGATTAGTAGTTTTGGGGACCTGACTTTTCCCCTGAAGGTGAATGAAATGCTTACGATCTCTTCTTACAGGTGGCCAATGGCGATTTCCATGCTTGCATCGAAGACGTTGAATGTAAAGCCTTTAGTTACCCATAGATTTCCTCTGGAGAAGGCTGTAGAAGCCTTTGAAACAACCAAAAAGGGAGTGGGGCTGAAAGTTATGATCAAGTGTGACCCCAATGACCAGAACCCCTAAAATGAATTTATTGGTGTCCTCAACCCACCCTCTCAGAATCTAAGGGCTAAATGGCTAGGAAGCGGGGGTGCTTGATTCAGAACTAATCTTTGAATGGTAGAAATAATTAACTCATAATAAACAGAGAGCCTAGGGGAGTCAGTGTGCCTTAAAGACAAAAGTAGTGATACTTCGGGGGACTTGTAGGCTAGGGGGTGGAGCTGACTTAGGAAGAATGGATTTTAAGATGGAAATGGCCCCATAGCTGATCTTCAATCTCAATGATTGACTGTCATCTGTTGAGTTCAGAGAACGGTGTTTGTCAAGCCAAGTGTCATTTGGTTTGATGATAAAAGAATAAGAAAAGGAATTTGCCTTCTGGATAAAAACTAATCAAAAGAATGAAACAAATTCCATATGAGCTGCACTGGCTTACATACCAAGAGCACTCACCTCTGCCCAAGGACCTCCTCTTCCTCAATGCCTGAGAATTCTGTCATTACATTTGTAAAGTGGAGGACCACCTTCCAACACTGCTCATTCACAGCAAGGAGCAGTGCCAGTTGCTATGCAACCAGGAGACGTCTGCCTAGAGATTTTAAATTCTGCCTAATTAGTACAGAGGCTTGGGTCCCTTACTGGGGATTAGAATTCCCTCCCAGGTGACTATTACCCCCATTCCACTCAGTTTGGGCTTTCTGAAAATGTTCCCCTTCTCATAACTGTGTAAGGCTGGTGGTAGCTGTTGGGTGGGCACCACAGAACTTTTCATCCTAGGCCTTTTCTGTGTAATATTTGGGTCCAGTCACTCCCTTTGTGATCCTAAACTAATTCAGATGAGCACACAGAAACTGTGATGTAGCTTGGGCTGCGGACTTTATCCCACCTCTTTGGCTGTGGGTAGAGAACGGCTGAAAATCTTCTGAAGATTTCTCAGACTGCTTTGCAAAATAAATTCTGTCTCTGGTGTTGGACTCCTGCTGTGGTTGATGCCTGTTTCGGGAGTAGACTTATGCTGCCCAGTTCCCACAAGGAAGAATCACAGAGCTTTAGCAGGGGACGTTTTCCATATGAAATACAATCCCACAGACTGCTAGAAACTGAAGTAGCATATGTATGAGTATCTTGCAGGTAGAGAAAGTAATTCAGGCAAAGTAGCACAACCCTTTTCTTCTCTTGCTCCTGCAGTAGGCAGATTCACAGAATTCTGTCCACACACTCTCGGCAGCCTTGCATTCCTGCTGGCTTGCTCTTCCTTCTCTCCGTCCTATTTAGTTAGCACCAGACTGATCGCTTGCCCTCTCTGAAGACTCCTTCCAGCATGGGGATGCCCAGAGTTCCTCTAGTAGGAATGAGACAAGCCCCTCACTTCGGAAGATTTTTGAGAAGTCTCAGGCAGGCACAGGTTTCTCTGTTAAATTTACAAATAACTACTTTTCTTCTGGTTGTGTCCCAATGAGAGGAGACGACAGGATTTGGGAGCCACAGGAAGCACAGACAGCAAGGTTGAGCCATGAAGAGCAAAGATGTGTCACTTGGCCTAAAACTGTGCTTGCAGTAGATCGGCTAAGCTGGTCTTAACACTTCCATTTTCTGGCTTCAGTTGGGCTTTATGATGCCTGTAAAACCCTGAAGAGTGGGTGGGCTGATCCCAAACGCAGTTCAGAGAAGACTTGGTGCTCGCCTGTAGTTCCAGGGCTTGCGCTGAGGGAGGATCATGTTTAAGGCTAGCCTAGTGAGAGAGTATGTTTGAAATAAAAGCAAAACCCTAAGATAGCAGCTCAGAGGATCATCCTGTGTTCATGTCCAGCCCTCAGCTTCCAAGCTGTGGCTTCTCACACATCCTAGGAGCAGAGAGGCTGGGGTGGGCTGTTCAGTGAGCCACAAGCATGGTGAAGGATCACCAAGTTGCCTGGGGTCTCCCTCTGCATCTTTATCCTGATGCTCCTTAGAAGGGGCTGCAGGAAGATGGGAATTCATTCCCTCCATCTCCACAAGGTACTCAGTGTTTGTTGACTGTCTCAGTGAATCAGTCCCGGAACCAAGACGACGAATTTCCCCAAAGCTCCCCAACATTGAAGTCCTGGTGGCCTCTGTGTGCTCTCACCAGGTTGGGCATACATTCGGTCAACATGGAGGACCCCACCCAGCTGGCACTCCCAGTACTGGAGTGGGGTGGGGTTTAGAGTAGAGAGCTGAGAAGAGGAACCTGCAGGTGACCTCGAGGAGCGGGAAGGCAGCCTGTAGGACCCCCAGGGAGGCTGGTATGTTGGCTCCAGCTACTCCATCTTGCTGATCTCCTTTGGCCACAGCAGACACTCCTGGACTTTCTTTCCGGGCTCTCTCTCCCCAGCCTCCTGCTTTGCATAAAGGAGGCAATGTGGGGTAGTGAAGCCAGAGGTCAAGCGTGGGGAAAACATACAGGATGTGTTGACTGTTTGCCTTTTCCTCAGAACCGCTTCTGTTTTCATGATGTCAGCTTAGGCTCAAAGTTCAGAAGCCAAGACGGGGAAGCAATGCTCAGGCAGCCAGCCAGGACAGAAGCTGTACCCCGCTAGAGATGGGGAGGCCCAGTCAAAGCCTACACCGCTGGTGACAGACAGTTCTGACCTCTCCACATGCCGGAAAGGGAGAAAGGGTGGGAAAGGGCTGTCGTGCAGCAGCTTTGTGAGAACACCAACAGGCGTGCTTTCCAGACACAGGTGTTGCTAGTGTGCTGTTGCCCAGCCCCCTCCGCTCTTCTCCCCCACCCCTGCCTTCACAGCCTCTGCCCCTCGCTCTCAGCTTTAAAAGCCATAGCTGAGCCAGACACTGAATTCTTTTCCTGGCTGGCACCTGATAGTGGGCAAGGATGTAGTAGGTTTTACCACCATGGGATTTCTTAGTGAATCCTCCAACCAGAAGAATGGCTTGCTTCTTGGACCCATGCAGTCCCTGAGAGGTGGTGCCTCATAGAGGATTCGTTATAGGGCCGAGAGGGCCAGCCACTAGCTCACTATGACCCCAAGCCACTTCCATTTCCAGCCAGCCTCTGCTGGAGGAATCCTTTGCTATCTGACAGACAATCTTGAGGTCCCCTCATGTACTGACACATCGTTTCCTGGGGGAAAAGACCCCGCGGGAAGTATCTCTCAGGATTAGCTGTAATGGGCTTTCTCCAGTTCAAGTCCTGGGTTAAGGGGTAGCTTGAGGGAGAGAGAATGGCCCAGGTTGGTGGGGGAGGGCCTTCGTGTGGAAACACCTGCATTATGGATTTCACCTTGTTCTGTGTCTTGGTCTTCCAGTACTTCACATAAAGCTGAAGGCCGAGGCACAACCTGGAAAGGGTAAGGATACATCAATCCACTCATTGTGAGGGGGAAACTATGGGAAGAAGATGGCCCTTTGGGAGTAGTGCAGTACCACTGAGGCACGGCAGAAGCACACCTCCCGTGGATCAGCTCACGCTTCTGTGGGTGATACTGAAACCCCGTGGGTCCCGCCTAATCCTACAAACTCATGCTTACTGGATCCACAAGCTACCGATCCACACGGGCCTCTTGGCACCCAGGGCCTCACTTGTGGGCCTCTTCACAGTTCTGGGAAAAATCGCTCTCCACACAGGTTTCTGAGACACCATCTCTGTCCCTGGAGCTCATGGTTTGACTAGGCTGGCTTGCTAGTGAACCCTAGAGATTGGCCTTGTCTTCATCTTCCCAGCTTTGAGATCACAGAGCCTCGCTGCTCTGCCAGGCTTTTAACATGTTAGATAAGGAGCTAGTCATGCCCTTATGCTCACACCACATGCATTTTGTCAGTTGAGCCGTTCTCCCCAGCCTGTGGGTATACACACTGATATTGAGACTAGAAAAATCTTTGGGGTTCCAGGTTATGAACAATGTGAGAGGACTTGTGCCTTAGGAAACCCCAGAGTCTGCTGAAGGTGGGGTCATAGAGTCACTGGCTAAATGACTTCAGATCATCTGGGAAAATGGAGGCTTGGTCCTCCTCCACTCAGAACATGAACCTGTCACCATATCTCCAGGCCTGAGTTTCCACAATGGTATTAGCAGTCATCCCTTCCAGGGTAGGACAGCAGCCCCTGCAGGGGCTGGCGTGGGATTATAGGGAAAGTGTCTCGGTCACCATGGAGCAGTGAACCACCATCAGTGAACCTGTACCAAAAGCTTTCCCACACCCATGCCCTCAGTGGCAAGACAGATTGCCATACTGAACCTTACTAAGTCACTGGGAGAAAGTAAGGGCCATACATATAAAATGTCCCCTTGCTGTTCTGGCCTCTCTTTAGTAGGTATAACTCTGTGTGTTGTGGGATTCACTGGATTAAGCATTAGGATGCTGATCTTGGATTGTTGAAAGATGTGACAATTTAAGACTTTTAAAGAAATTTCTGAGTAATTCAGAGAGGATGGCCATGTTGTTCTTTATTCTCCCACCATGTGTATACTGAACACTGTGTTTATCTGGCCTAACAGTAAACATTTCAAGTGATATCTAGTCCCATGGACACCAAAGTGAAATATGTCCCTTGTCATACCCTACATGGCATAGGACAGGGTTACTAGCCTCAAAGACATCAAGAGTTATTGATTCTTGTAGGACCGGCAAGGCATCTCAGTGGGTAGAGATTCCAACATAGCCTGATGACCTGAGTTCAACTCCTAGGAACCACATGGTAGAGGGAGAGAGCTTACTTCTACAGATCTCCATCACTGACACACACACACACACACACACACACACACACACACACACACACACAGAGAGAGAGAGAGAGAGAGAGAGAGAGAGAGAGAGAGAGAGAGAGATGCACGTATGCGCGCACACAAAATATAAGAAAAACAATTTACTGATTCTCAGGAACTTAATGGGTAACTATTATCAGCAAACCAAGAGGTCAACATCTGAATGAGGAAAAACCCAAAGATGAGGAACTGTTAATCCAGGGCAGAGTGAAGGCAGTGAGTGACTCAGCGGCTGCAGGGCTGGGAGGCAGCAGAACTTTCAGCACAACACAGAGACCAGCAGGTTCCAGCCAGAGCTCCCCTAGACCGATACTGCGTTGGCTTCCCGGTGCTACACTCCCACATGCTGCTACCCTCAGATAAACTAGGACCCAAGGAAACCTTCGCTCCTCCAGTTGCTGTCTCCTCTCTCTCTGGTTCTTTGGGAGTGATGCTCCCAAGGGGAAGATAGGCATTGCTGGGAGGTTAGCTGGAGCATATGCATGGCCGTGGGTTGGGTTAGAGCCGAGGAAAAGCAGCCATACACTTGACAGAGGCGGTAGAGTACGAGGCTGGTGGACACTTGAATGACTTAGGCTCCACAAAGCAAGAAACAGGTGGGGTCATGTTAGGCTGCACCACTGCCTTATGGTCCCCAGCAGCCCATTTGACTTCTCTCAGCCTCGGGTCCTTTAAGAAGGAAAGTAATACCTACCCCGGGGTTGTCAAGGGGTCAGATGAAGTCATTTTGAAGTTCTTAGTATGTCACCGTGATTGTGTTTACTGAGTGTCCGTGTCCTGTCCTCGTCTCACTGAGATTCAGTGCCTTGCCTGTAGAGAGCAGGGTGGATGATCCCTCATATTGAAAAGCTGGGTGAGCAACCTCCTAAGATTTTTCCAGCTTTGAGCCCCTGACTCTGCCAAGATGCCTGAAGTTGTATGAGAACTCCCCAAGGTGACAGGAAAGGCCTAGGTTAGACCCAGCATTCTCAAACTGGAGATGTGGCTCTGTGATTAAGAGCGTTGTCTGCTCTTCCTAATAAGAGGTAGTCCTGACTCTCAGCTCTGAGCCATTCTCCTGAGCTGACTCCGGAATGGCTGGACTTCCTTAAGGGGACAGTCTAGGTGTCTAGTGACTTACTATGATGAGGAGAAAGGAAGCTCCAAGGATCAGTAGGGTCAGAGGAAGAGACCTCTGTCCCATAGCAAGAGGAGGCCTCACCTGTACTAGAGTCATGAACTC